CGAGCGTGTGCAAAATTGCAAGAACAAGGGCCTAGCGTGTGCAAAATAAAAAGAACAAGGGCCTAGCGTGTGCAAAATTGCAAGAACAAGGGTCTAGCGTGTGCAAAATTGCAAGAACAAGGGCCTAGCGTGTGCAAAAAATCAAGAACAAGGGCCTAGCCTTCGCAAAATAGCAAGAGCAAGGGCCTAGCGTGTGCAAAATAAAAAGAACAAGGGTCTAGCATGTGCAAAATTGCAAGAACAAGGGCCTAGCGTGTGCAAAATTGCAAGAACAAGGGCCTAGCGAGTGCAAAATAGCAAGAGCGAGGGCCTAGCGTGTGCTAAATTGCATGAACAAAAACCTAGCGTTCGCGAAATAGCAAGAACTAGGGCCTAGTCTGTGCAAAATAAAAAGAACAAGGGTCTAGCATGTGCAAAATTGCAAGAACATGGGCCTAGCGTGTGCAAAATAAAAAGAACTAGGGCATATTGTGTGCAAAATAGCAAGAACAAGGGCATACCGTGTGCAAAATATAAAGAACAAGGGCCTAGCGTGTGCAAAATAAAAAGAACAAGGGCCTAGCGTGTGCAAAATTGCAAGAACAAGGGCCTAGCGTGTGCAAAATAAAAAGAACAAGGGCCTAGCGTGTGCAAAATTGCAAGAACAAGGGTCTAGCGTGTGCAAAATAAAAAGAACAAGGGCATAGCGTGTGCAAAATAAAAAGAACAAGGGCATAGCGTGTGCAAAATAAAAAGAACAAGGGCCTAGCGAGTGCAAAATTAAATGAACAAGGGCCTAGCGAGTGCAAAATAGCAAGAGCAAGGGCCTAGCGTGTGAAAAATAAAAAGAACAAGGGCCTAGCGTGTGCAAAATTGCAAGAACAAGGGCCAGGCGTGTGCACAATTGCAAGAACAAGGGCCTAGCGAGTGCAAAATAGCAAGAGCTAGGGCCTAGCGTGTGCAAAAAATCAAGAACAAGGGCATAGCATTCACGAAATAGCAAGAACAAGGGCCTAGCGTGTGCAAAATAAAAAGAACAAGGGTCTAGCATGTGCAAAATTGCAAGAACAAGGGCCTAGCGTGTGCCAAAAAAAAAGAACAAGGGCATGGCATGTGCAAAATAGCAAGAACAAGGGCATAGCGTGTGCAAAATAAAACAAACAAGGGCCTAGCGTGTGCAAAATAAAAAGAACAAGGGCCTAGCGTGTGCAAAATTGCAAGAACAAGGGCTTAGCATGTGCAAAATTGCAAGAACAAGGGCCTAGCGAGTGCAAAATAGCAAGAGCAAGGGCCTAGCGTGTGCAAAAAATCAAGAACAAGGGCCTAGCCTTCGCGAAATAGCAAGAGCAAGGGCCGCGCGTGTGCGAAATAAAAAGAACAAGGGTCTAGCATGTGCAAAATTGCAAGAACAAGGGCCTAGCGTGTGCAAAATAAAAAGAACAAGGGTCTAGCATGTGCAAAAAAAATAGAACAAGGGCCTAGCGTTCGCAAAATAAAAAGAACAAGGGCATAGCGTGTGCAAAATAAAAAGAACAAGGGCGTAGCATTCGCGAAATAGCAAGAGCAATGGCCTAGTGTGTGCAAAAAAAAAAGAACAAGGGCCTAGCGTGTGCAAAATTGCAAGAACAAGGGCCTAGCGTGTGCAAAATTGCAAGAACAAGGGCCTAGCGTGTGCAAAATTGCAAGAACAAGGGCCTAGCGAGTGCAAAATAGCAAGAGCAAGGGCCTAGCGTGTGCAAGAAATCAAGAACAAGGGCCTAGCGTTCGCGAAATAGCAAGAACAAGGGCCTAGCGTGTGCAAAATAAAAAGAACAAGGGTCTAGCATGTGCAAAATAAAACGAACAAGGGCCTAGCGTGTGCAAAATAAAAAGAACAAGGGCATAGCATGTGCAAAATAAAAAGAACAAGGGCATAGCGTGTGCAAAATATAAAGAATAAGGGCCTAGCGTGTGCAACATTAAATGAACAAGGGCCTAGCGAGTGCAAAATAGCAAGAGCAAGGGCCTAGCGTGTGCAAAATAAAAAGAACAAGGGCCTAGCATGTGCAAAATTGCAAGAACAAGGGCCTAGCGTGTGCACAATTGCAAGATCAAGGGCCTAGCGAGGGCAAAATAGCAAGAGCTAGGGCCTAGCGTGTGCAAAAAATCAAGAACAAGAGCCTAGCATTCGCGAAATAGCAACAACAAGGGCCTAGCGTGTGCAAAAAAAGAAGAACAAGGGTCTAGCATGCGCAAAATTGTAAGAACAAGGGCCTAGCGTGTGCAAAATAAAAAGAACAAGGGCATAGCGTGTGCAAAATAGCAAGAACAAGTGCCTAGCGTATGCAAAATAAACAGAACAAGGGCCTAGCATGTGCAAAATAAAAAGAACAAGGGCCTAGTGTGTGCGAAATCGCAAGAACAAGGGCCTAGCGAGTGCAAAATAGCAAGAGCAAGGACCTAGCGTGTGCAAAAAAATCAAGAACAAGGGCCTAGCGTTCGCGAAATAGCAAGAACAAGGGCCTAGCCTGTGCAAAATAAAAAGAAAATGGGTCTAGCATGTGCAAAATTGCAAGAACAAGGGCCTAGCGTGTGCAAAATAAAAAGAAAAAGGGCATAGCATGTGCAAAATAAAAATAACAAGGGCATAGCGTGTGCAAAATAAAAAGAACAAGGTCCTAGAGTATGCAAAATAAAAAGAACAAGGGCCTATCGTGTGCAAAATTGCAAGAACAAGGGCCTAGCATGTGCAAAATTGCAAGAACAAGGGCCTAGCAAGTGCAAAATAGCAAGAGCGAGAGCCTAGCGTGTGCTAAATTGCATGAACAAGGGCCTAGCGTTCGCGAAATAGCAAGAACAAGGGCCTAGTGTGTGCAAAATAAAAAGAACAAGGGTCTAGCATGTGCAAAATTGCAAGAACATGGGCCTAGCGTGAGCAAAATAAAAAGAACTAGGGCATAGCGTGTGCAAAATAGCAAGAACAAGGGCATACCGTGTGCAAAATATGAAGAACAAGGGCCTAGCGTGTGCAAAATAAAAAGAACAAGCGCCTAGCGTGGGCAAAATTGCAAGAACAAGGGCCGAGCGTGTGCAAAATTGCAAGAACAAGGGCCTAGCGTGTGCAAAATAAAAAGAACAAGGGCCTAGCGTGTGCAAAATTGCAAGAACAAGGGTCTAGCGTGTGCAAAATTGCAAGAACAAGGGCCTAGCGAGTGCAAAATGGCAAGAGCAAGGGCCTAGCGTGTGCAAGAAATCAAGAACAAGGGCCTAGCGTTCGCAAAATAGCAAGAACAAGGGCCTAGCGTGTGCAAAATAAAAAGAACAAGGGTCTAGCATGTGCAAAATTGCAAGAACAAGGGTCTAGCGTGTGCAAAATAGACAGAACAAGTGCCTATCGTGTGCAAAATAGACAGAACAAGGGCCTATCGTGTGCAAAATGATAAAAACAAGGGCCTAGCGTGTGCAAAATAAAAAGAACAAGGGCATAGCGTGTGCAAAATAGACAGAACAAGGGCCTATCGTGTGGAAAATGATAAGAACAAGGGCCTAGCGTGTGCAAAATAAAAAGAACAAGGGCCTAGCGTGTTCAAAATTGCAAGAACAAGAGCCTAGTGTTTGCAAAATTGCAAGAACAAGGGCCTAGCGTGTGCAAAAAATCAAGAACAAGGGCCTTGTGTTCGCGAAATAGCAAGAACAAGGGCATAGCGTGTGCAAAATAAAAAGAACAGGTGTCTAGAATGTGCAAAATAGCAAGATCAAGGGCCTAGAGTGTGCAAAAAAAAAAGAACGAGGGCATAGCGTGTGCAAAATAGCAAGAACAAGGGCCTAGCGTGTGCAAAATAAAGGAAACATGGGCCTAGCGTGTGCAAAAAAAAATGAACAAGGGCCTAGCGTGTGCAAAATTGCAGGAACAAGAGCCTAGCGTGTGCAAAATTGCAAGAACAAAGGCCTAGCGAGTGCAAAATAGAAAGAGCAAGGGCCTAGCGTGTGCAAAAAATCAAGAATAAGGGCCTAGCGTTCGCGAAATAGCAAGAACAAGGGCCTAGCGTGTGCAAAAAAAAATGAACAAGAGTCTAGCATGTGCAAAATAGCAAGAACAAGGGCCTAGCGTGTGCAAAATAAAAAGAACAAGGGCCTAGCGTGTGCAAAATAAAAAGAACAAGGGCCTAGCGTGTACAATAAAAAGAACAAGGGCATAGCGTGTGCAAAATACAAAGTACAAGGGCCTAGCGTGTGCAAAATAAAAAAAACAAGGGCCTAGCGTGTGCAAAATAAAAAAAACAAGGGCCTAGCGTGTGCAAAATATCAAGAATTAGGGCCTAGCATGTGCAAAATTGCAAGAACAAGGGCTTAGAGTGTGCGAAAAATAAAAAACAAGGGCCTAACGTTCGCGAAAAAGCAAGAACAAGGGCCTAGCGTGTGCATAATAAAAAGAACAAGGGTCTAGCATGTGCAAAATTGCAAGAACAAAGGCCTAGCGTGTGCAAAATAAAAAGAACAAGGGCATAGCGTGTGCAAAATAAAGAGAACAAGGGCATAGCGTGTGCAAAATGAAAAGAACAAGGGCCTAGCGTGTGCAAAATAAAAAGAACAAGGGCCTAGCGTGTGCTAAATTGCAAGAACAAGGGCCTAGCGTGTGCAAAATTGCAAGAACAAGGGCCTAGCGAGTGCAAAATAGCAACAGCAAGGGCCTAGTATGTGCAAAATGTGAAACAAGTAAACAGGAATGAATGAACTAGCAGTGAAATGAGTACAAGTAGGAAACCCTAGAGTTGTGTACCCCCTATAGGCTAACCCACTGTAGCCTACACAAGCATAACATATATAATGTCTGACACACCCCCATAGGCAAAGTGGGGAGAACAAGGGGTCACAAGACCAGTCAAGCAAAGCAAAGCAAGCTCAGGGTGGATCACAAAGTCACCACACAGTCCGAGCACAAGAGCAGGGCCAGAGGCCAGTTGACATGCAGGAGTACAGACATATATATAAAACTAGACAAGCAAGAGCAGGTATATATATATGTCACAGTACAAGTGAAGTCAAGAGGAGAGCAAGTGAGGCAAGACAGGTACAAGACCCAGCTGGGTGCAAAAGCGCTGATGGTCACAAGGCGTGAGTGCCTTGGTGAACACATCAGCAGTGTTGGCCTCAGAGGCCACGTACGCAAGTCGCAACTGACCACGCTGCTGCAGCTCACGAGCAAGGAAGTAGCGGAGAGCAATGTGCTTCGTTCTGTGCTCCAAGCGCTGCTCTCGACACAAGGCCAGCATGGCCTTGTTGTCTACGTACAGCACTGGAGGAGAACGAGGCGGCTCTCCAAGGTCAGTCAGCAGGTAGGTGAGCCAGCGAAGCTCCTGTGCAGCCATGGCCCCGGCGTAGATCTCAGCCTCACAACTGGAGCCGAGAACCGAAGACGAGCGAGTAGACCGCCACGAGACAGAGCCGGAACCAAGGCTGAAGGTGTAACCCTGTGACGACCGCTGCGTAGCTTGGTCGTCAGCCCAAGAAGCGTCCGCGTGGCCGGTAAGGACCACTGGACTCCGCCCTCCAAGCACTAGCCCCATGCCCGACGTACTGCACAGGTAGCGCAATACCCTCTTTGTTGCAGCCATGTGCTCTGGTCTGTGTCTCCCAGGAGCAACATAGCGTGCAAGAATGCTCAGAGGGTATGCAAGGTCAGGTCGTGTGCAGGTCATCAGGTACATGAGGCAGCCAACAAGCTCTGCATACGGACCACTCGACTCTACGGACTCATCCGAAGGCAGAGCTGAGAGTGAGTGGCGAGTAGGCAGAGGAGTGGCCTGAGGCGAGGAGTACGTGAAGCCGAAGCGCTGAAGGACCTGCTGCACCATGTGTGACTGAGTCAAGGTAATGGTGCGGTGTGCTCTGTCCCGAGTGATCTGCAAGCCAAGGTAGCTGCGCAGTTCACCCAGGTCTGTGCACGTGTGTCTCTTCAGCAGCTCGGACTTCACGTAGGCGAGTCCAGCAGTGTCCGCTGTGGCAAAGACCAAGTCGTCGACGTACACGAGGATGTAGAACGGCGGCAGGGAAGTGTCGGTGCGAAGAAACAGCGACGGGTCAGCAGAAGAAGGAGCAAACCCAAGAGCCGCAAGCGTAGTCCTCAGTGTGTCGTGCCACTCACGCGGTGCCTGGCGGAGACCGTAGACTGGCCGTCGGAGGCTCCACTGGGTGCCAGGAGGGAAAGTCCCAGTGAAGCCAGGTGGACGGCGAAGCCAGATCTCCTCGTGCAGGCTACCCTGCAAGAACGCAGTGCTGAAGTCGAGAGAGTGAAGCTCGTAGTCGCGCTGAGCGGCTATGGGCAGCAGCACCCGAAGAGTAGTCATCTTCGGGGTGGGAGAGAAGGTCTGAAAGTAGTCAACTCCCTGCCGCTGACTGAAGCCACGAGCAACGTACCGTGCCTTGAAGACAGGTGGAGAGCCCGGCGGCCGCTTCACCCTGAAGATCCACATGCCACTGACGATGTTCGCCCCAGGAGGGGGAACCGCGTCAACGTAGGTGCCTGTGGACTTCCAGGAAGCCATCTCTGCATCCATAGCTGCCTGCCACTGAGAGGAGTAGGGACCCTCTACGGCCTCCGCGTAAGAACGCGGAGTCGGGATGTCTAGTGCATCCGGGTCTCCCTCGGGGGCAAGCAGTACAGACGCGAGATGAGGTGAAGCAGCCGCTAGACACTGTAACTCCTCCTGCCTGTCCTCTAGGACGTCCGTGCCAAGAGCACACTCACCCCCGACGGACGGAGGACAGACAGACGTAGACTCAGCAATAAGACTAGCAGCGTAGTCGAGACGACAGCGAGCAGCAAAGTCGACGAGCTCAGCGACTAGAGCAGACGCAGCAGTGGACTCAAAAGAGGGGTCAGTGACGACAGTAGCAAGCAGACGCGTGACAGTAGGACTGGCAGCACGAAGAGAGTCCGACTCAGGGTCGGCAGGCGGAGGAAGAGAGGACTCAGGAGGAGAAGGCAAAGGGGCACGCAGAGGAGCAGTGGACGGACGCAAAGACATCCGGTGCGTGCCAGGGACAGGAGGAGGACGCTGACGCGAACTGCGACCACTAGCGCGAGCAGCACGAACAGGCGACGCGGGACGAGACGCAGGCTCACGACGCTCAGCAAGACTTCCAGTAGGACCAGTGTAAGGAGGGGGAGCAGGCAGTGGAGAGGAAGGCTCCAGCAGGGACTGCGACTGGACAGGCGGTGGACCCTCTACTGGAGGGGAAAGACCAAGAACCTGCTGCAGGAGCGGAACGAAGTATGGCCGAGGCCGCGCGGCAGCTCCAGACTCAGCAGGGACAGCACCTGCACCCTCAGGGATAGCACCAGCGCCACCCACACCTCCAGCGGCAGGACCAACAGCAGTAGGCTCAGCACCAACGCCCTCAGCAGCTCCAGCTCCAGGAGGACCCGCAGGTCCAGCAGCTCCGGGACCGGCAGCACCCGCACCCTCGACGGTCGAAGAAGCTCCAGCTCCAGCTCCAGCAGCACCTCCAGACTCAGCAGCACGCCTCCAGCGGCGAGCGAACCACTCACGCAGCTCCTGTGGAGAGAGGGGCTACCGGCGAGACGCAGCAGCAGGAGAAACCCCAGGCTCAGCAGCTCCAGACGCAGCACCCCCAGGCTCAGCAGCTCCCAGCTCAGCACCCCCAGGCTCAGCAGCTCCCGACCCAGCACCCCCAGACCCAGCACCTCCAGGCACAGCACCCCCCGACTCAGCACCCCCAGGCTCCGCACCCTCCGCAGTAGCACCCTCAGGCCCAGCACCCCTAGCAATAGCACCCCCAGGCTCAGCACCCCCGCGCACAGCACCCCCAGAGTCAGCACCCCCAGGCTCAGCACCTGCAGCAGCACCAGAGTCACCAGTAACCTCGACCGGGTCAACGGCGTCTACCTGGGACACACCTGAGGGGGCAGGAACCTGAGGGGGTAGGGGGTCTACCGGGGGGGGAACCGGCACAAGGAAGTCCGGGGGAGGGGGGAGGGAAGGAGTGCGGTAGGGGAAGAGACGGTAGAAGGGGACTGACTCGTCGAACGTGACGTCCTGGGAGGACAGAACATGACGAGAGGAGGGGTGGTAAAACTGCCACCCTCGGGCGTCAGTGGGGAAGCCAAGGAAGACACAGGGAGCAGCACGAGGGGACAGCTTGTCCGCAGACAAGTCGCGGACAAACGCCCGAGATCCCCAGACACGGAACACAGACGCATCGCCAACCTTCCCCGTCCACAGCAAGGCTGGGGACATCGCAGGCCGAGAGACCCGGGGGTGAAGGTTGAGCTGATGCGCCGCGTACCTCACCGCAAACGGCCACAGAAAATGGGGGGCAGCCGCATGCATCATGGACGTACGAGCGACATCCATGACCATGCCAATGCGGCGCTCAGCAATCCCATTTTGCTGTGGTGAGTACGGAAGCGTGAAGGTCTGGCGGATCCCCCGTGCACGACAGTAGTCTCGCAGAAGGCGAGAAGAGAACTCTCCGCCTCTGTCCGAGTGCAGACGCAGAACAGGAAAGTCCGAGCCGAAGCTCTTCCTGAGCTGGAGACGAGCCTCGCGGATCCAGTCGATCAGCACCTCAGTGACCGCACCCTTGCTGCGCAAGGGGAGGACTGTGGTGTAACGCGAGTAGTCGTCAACCACCAACAGGAAGTAGCGCTCGTGACCCTGCCCACGGACGGGGGCTGGGCCCCACACATCCATGTGAAGCGTCTGCAGGGGAGCCTCTGTCGGGGGGAAGTGGGAGGAGTGAGGAGTAGCCCGGAGGCGACCCTCGACACAGGGGACACAGGAAGGTCCTGGCCCGGAGGGGAGAGGAGGGAGAGACTGGGGAAGACCAGAGACAAGGACACGGGAAGCCATGCTCCGAAGACGGGGCAAGGAGGGGTGGCCAAGACGGTGGTGCCACAGGAGAGTCTCGTGAGACAGGAGGCGACAAGAACAGGGGGCAGACTCAGGACCTGACCGGGACGCAGCAGCAAGCACCTGACCTGACGCAGCCACCTGACCAGACGCAGGGACAGGAGGAGACTCAACGGTCAGGGTGTAGAGGCTCGACCCCGGCCGACGCGAGAACGTGGCCAGGTGTCGGCCTGTGCGTGCCTCCGTGCAGTGGGTCACCCGCTGACTCGCAGGAGTGAACTGGTGAACCCCCACATCCTGCAGGTCCGCGCCACTCACCAAGTTCGTAGAGAACGAGGGAAGGTACAGACCAGACAGGGTGCCCGAAGGGGCAGCCGGACACGGGAGGACAGTGGAGAAGTGAGACAGGATAGGACCCCCAGAGGGGTCAGCAAGGGAGACTGCAACCGGCCGGCCGAGCGGCGTAAGGGTAGTGCGGTCTCGAAAGAATGAGCGAGAAGCCCCGGAGTCAAGTGTGAACGTGAGGGAGGACGAGGACGACGCAGTACCTGAGAGCGCAGTCTCACCAGTACCTGAGAGCGCAGACGCACTGGCACCTAGAGCAGCAGCCTCACAAGCACCTAGCGCAGCAGTACCAATGCCCGGGTCGGGCTGGAAACACCGGTAACCCTCATTCTCCTCACCATAAGTCACAGCATACATAGCAGCAAGGATAGCATCAAAATCAAGATCAAAGATCGCTACACCAGCCCTAAGAAGCTCATCCCAGTGAGGGATCTCACTAGCCCCAGGGAACTGCTGACGCCAAGCGTCCGTCAGGCGGCCAAAGCAGCGCTGGGTGGCGTGGGCACCCCCACACTGCTCACCCGCGCGGTCGCCGGAACGAAGAACGTAGGTGCAGGAACCAGTACCCCCACCCCTCTGACGCCCAGCGTACCACTCACGAAGCTGCTGAGGCGGAGGGATGTCCCGCAAGCGCTGCTGCTGCTGCCGCTGCGAGCGCTGGCCACCACCACCGCCGCTACGCTGCTGGGTACCACCCCGACCAGCTCCACCTCCTCCACCACCACCGCCTCCTCCGCTGCCACCTCCACCGCCTCCACCTTCGCCGCCTCCACCTCCGCCGCTGCCTCCACCACCAGCGCTGCCACCACCACCACCGTCTCCGCCGCTGCTGCCACCACCACCACCACCCCCGCCACTAGTCCCGCCGCCACCCCCACTCCCTCCGCCGCCACCGCCGCCACCGCCACCGCCCCCTCCAGCTCCACCCGCGCCCTAGCCCCCCTTGCCCTTGCTGGAGCGACGTCTCCCACTAGGGGCAGACGCCGCGCCGACCGACTCAAGACCAAGCAGGTCGGCAGCAGCAGCAGAGGCAACAGAGGGCAGCAAGGGGGAAGGAGAGCACCCCTCAAAGATGGGGGTGCGAGGGTCACCACGAGAAGCACCTACAGCGACTATGCTCTTCTCCGCTGCGAGGAGGGCCTTCTCGGGGAGGTCGACGGTGAGGGTGGTGGGACAGACTGCGAGAAAGTGGTCCCTGACGACGCGAAGGGAGTCAGGGAGGCGCGCGACTACGTAGTAGAGAGCGATGTACATGGGGGGTGGGTTCTTAGCGCAGAACTCAGCAGGAAGGGCGGCGCGGTAGCGAGTGTCACTAGTGCGGAGGTGCGTAATGAGGTCAGCGACAGTGGGAAAGGCAGAGAGGTCAGGAAAGAGGTAGGGAAGCATGAGACGGCTCAGTGCAGCAGTGGCAGGGGAGGAGTAGCGCGCAACTACAGCGTCGTACAAGGTCTGGGCACTCTTGTACTGACTAAAGTGCGCGCGCTCAGAGGTAGGGAGGTGGCGACGCACAGCAAGACGTGCAGCAGCATCGCGGGTGGCCCACTGAGAGCGCACAGTGGGATCAGCATCAGCAGCAGGAGCAGGAGAGGCGCCAGAGGTGAGGTCAAAGAGAGAAAGGTCGTCTGCTCTGTCGCACTGTAAGAACAGCTGCAGGTCGTCTAACCAGACCTCAAAATCAATGGCGTAACCCTCAGCGTCAAAAGCTAGGACACTAGGGGTAGCCATGGCGACGACAGCGAAGCAGTGCAAGCAGTAGGGGAAGAGCACGCAGTGGCAGTGGGACTGTGCTCACCAGGCAGGGCAGGTCGTGCAGCTCTGCAGAAAGGCGGCTCGGCGACCGGGCGGCTCGGGTGCACAGCGGCTCGGCTCCCGGGCGGCTCGGCGGCAGGGCGGCTCGGGTGCAGGGCGGCTCGGCTCCCGGGCGGCTCGGGGGCAGGGCGGCTCGGGGGGCAGGGCGGCTCGGCTCCCGGGCGGCTCGGCGACAGGGCGGCACGAGCGTAGGGCGGCTCGGCTCCCGGGCGGCTCGGCTGCACGGCTGCCCGACTGCTGCAGGTGGGGCGGCAGGGCCGCGTGAAAGAACCGGGGCGGGGCAGCTTCAGAGCTGGCGGCAGGGCCGCAAGAGAGCCGGCGGCGAGGCCGCTTGAGAGCCGAGGCAGGGGCCGCGTCAGGGCCGGCGGCGGGGCCGTAAGAGAGCCGGGGCGGGGCCGCAAGAGAGCCGGCGGCGGGGCCGCAGGAGAGCCGGCGGCGGGGCCGCGTGAGAGCCGGGGCGGGGCCGCGTCAGGGCCGGCGGCGAGGCCGCGAGAGAGCCGGGGCGGGGCCGCGATCAGGAGGCGGCGGCGGGGCCGCGTCAGAGCCGGCGGCGGGGCCTCGTCGAGGCGGGCGGCGGGGCCGCGTTGGAGCCGGCGGCGAGGCCGGCTAAGAGCCCGCGGCGGGGCCGCGTCAGAGCCGATGGCGGGGACGCGTCAGGGCCGGCGGCGGGCCGCGATCAGCGGGCGGCGGGGCCGCGTCAGAGCCGGCGGCGGGGCCGCGTCAGAGCCGGCGGCGGGGCCGCGATCAGCGGGCGGCGGGGCCGCGTCAGAGGAGGCGGCGGGGCCGCTACAGAGGAGGCGGCGGGGCCGCGTCAAGCAAGGGTGGCGGGGCCGCGTCAGAGGGACAGCGGGGCCGCGAGAGCAATGGCGACCCGAAGGGTCGCGAAAAAAAAATGCGCGCCTCAGGGCGCGCTTCGGTGGGCCCTAAAAAAAACGGTCCTTAGGAAGGACCCGCTCTATACCATGTGAAACAAGTAAACAGGAATGAATGAACTAGCAGTGAAATGAGTACCCCCTATAGGCTAACCCACTGTAGCCTACACAAGCATAACATATATAATGTCTCACACAAAATATCATGAACAAGGGCCTAGCGTGTGCAAAATAAAAAGAACGAGGGCATAGCGTGTGCAAAATAGCAAGAACAAGGGCCTAGCGTGTGCAAAATAAAAAGAACATGGGCCTAGCGTGTGCAAAATAAAAAGAACAACGGCCTAGCGTGTGCAAAATTGCAAGAACAAGGGCCTAGCGTGTGCAAAATTGCAAGAACAAAGGCCTAGCAAGTGCAAAATAGGAAGAGCAAGGGCCTAGCGTGTGCAAAAAATCAAGAATAAGGGCCTAGCGTTCGCGAAATAGCAAGAACAAGGGCCTAGCGTGTGCAAAAAAAAATGAACAAGAGTCTAGCATGTGCAAAATAGCAAGAACAAGGGCCTAGCGTGTGCAAAATAAAAAGAACAAGGGCCTAGCTTGTGCAAAATAAAAAGAACAAGGGCCTAGCGTGTGCAAAAAAAAAAGAACAAGGGCATAGCGTGTGCAAAATAAAAAGTACAAGGGCCTAGCGTGTGCAAAATAAAAAAAACAAGGGCCTAGCGTGTGCAAAATAAAAAGAACAAGGGCCTAGCGTGTGCAAAATTGCAAGAACAAGGGCCTGGCGTGTGCAAAATTGCAAGAACAAGGGCCTAGCCAGTGCACAATAGCAAGAGCAAGGGCCTAGCGTATGCAAAAAATCAAGAACAAGGGCCTAGCGTTTGCAAAATAGCAAGATCAAGGGCCTAGCGTGTGCAAAATAAAAAGAACAAGGGTCTAGCATGTGCAAAATTGCAAGAACAAGGGCCAAGCGTGTGCAAAATAAAAAGAAGAGGGGCATGGCATGTGCAAAATCAAAAGAACAAAGGCATAGCGTGTGCAAAATAAAACAAAGAAGGGCCTAGCGTGTGCAAAATATCAACAACAAGGGCCTAGCGTGTGCAAAATTGCAAGAACAAGGGCCAAGCGAGTTCAAAATAGCAAGAGCAAGGGCCTAGCGTGTGCGAAAAAAAAAAAACAAGGGCCTAACGTTCGAGAAAAAGCAAGAACAAGGGCCTAGCGTGTGCAGAATAAAAAGAACAACGGTCTAGCATGTGCAAAATTGCAAGAACAAAGGCCTAGCGTGTGCAAAATAAAAAGAACAAGAGCATAGCGTGTGCAAAATAAAGAGAACAAGGGCATAGCGTGTGCAAAATGAAAAGAACAAGGGCCTAGAGTGTGCAAAATAAAAAGAACAAGGGCCTAGCGTGTGCTAAATTGCAAGAACAAGGGCCTAGCGTGTGCAAAATTGCAAGAACAAGGGCCTAGCGAGTGCAAAATAGCAACAGCAAGGGCCTAACGTGTGCAAAAAATCAAGAACAAGGGCCTAGCGTTCGCGAAATACCAAGAGCAAGGGCCTAGCGTGTGCAACATAAAAGGAACAAGGGCCTAGCGTGTGCAAAATTGCAAGAACAAGGGCCTAGCGTGTGCAAAATTGCAAGAACAAGGGCCTAGCGAGTGCAAAATAGCAACAGCAAGGGCCTAGCATGTGCAAAAAATCAAGAACAAGGGCCTAGCGTTCGCGAAATACCAAGAGCAAGGGCCTAGCGTGTGCAAAATAAAAAGAACAAGGGCATAGCATGTGCAAAATAAAAAGAACAAGGGCATAGGGTGTGCAAAATAAAAAGAACAAGGGCCTAGCATGTGCAAAATAAAAAGAACAAGGGCCTAGCGTGTGCAAAATTGCAAGAACAAGGGCCTAGCGTTCGCGAAATTGCAAGAACAAGGGCCAAGCGTGTGCAAAATAAAAAGAACAAGGGTCTAGCATGTGCAAAATTGCAAGAACAAGGGCCAAGCGTGTGCAAAAAAGCAAGAACAAGGGCATAGCGTGTGCAAAATAGCAAGAACAAGGGCCTAGCGTGTGCAAAATAAAACGAACAAGGGCCTAGCGCGTGCAAAATAAAAAGAACAAGGGCCTAGCGTGTGCAAAATTGCAAAAACAAGGGCCTAGCGTGTGCAAAATTGCAAGGACAAGGGCCTAGCAAGTGCAAAATAGCAAGAGCAAGGGCCTAGCGTGTGCAAAAAATCAAGAACAAGGACCTAGGGTTCGCGAAATAGCAATAACAAGAGCCTAGCATGTGCAAAATAAAAATAACAAGGGTCTAGCATGTGCAAAATTGCAAGAACAAGGGCCTAGCGTGTGCAAAATAAAAAGAGCAAGGGCATAGCGTGTGCAAAATAGCAAGAAGAAGGGCCTAGCATGTGCAAAATTATAAGAACAAGGGCCTAGCGTGTGCAAAATAAAAAGAACAAGGGCCTAGCGTGTGCAAAATAGCAAGAACAAGGGCCTAGCGTGTGCAAAATAGCAAGAGCAAGGGCCTAGCATGTGCAAAAAATCAAGAACAAGGGCCTAGCGTTCGCGAAATTGCAAGAACAAGGGCCAAGCGTGTGCAAAATAAAAAGAACGAGGGTCTAGCATGTGCAAAATTGCAAGAACAAGGGCCAAGCGTGTGCAAAATAAAAAGAACAAGGGCCTAGCGTGTGCAAAATTGCAAGAACAAAGGCCTAGCGTGTGCAAAATAGCAAGAACAAGGGCCTAGCGAGTGCAAAATAGAAAGAGCAAGGGCCTAGCGTGTGCAAAAAATCAAGAACAAGGGCCTAGCGTTCGCGATATAGCAAGAACAAGGGCCAAGCGTGTGCAAAATAAAAAGAACAAGGGTCTAGCATGTGCAAAATTGCAAAAACAAGGGCATAGCGTGTGCAAAAAAGCAAGAACAAGGGCCTAGCGTGTGCAAAATTGCAAGAACAAGGGCCTAGCGTGTGCAAAAAAACAAGAACAAGGGCCTAGCGTTCGCGAAATAGCATGAACAAGGGCCTAGCGTGTGCAAAATTGCAAGAACAAGGGTCCAGCGTGTGCAAAATTGCAAGAACAAGGGCATAGCGTGTGCAAAATAAAAAGAACAAGGGCCAAGCGTGTGCAAAATAAAAAGAACAAGGGCCTAGCGTGTACAAAATTGCAAGAACAAGGGCCTAGCGTGTGCAAAATTGCAAGAACAAGGGTCTAGTGTGTGCAAAATTGCAAGAACAAGGGCCTAGCTAGTGCAAAATAGCAAGGGCAAGGGCCTAGCGTGTGCAAATAAGCAAGAACAAGGGCCTAGCATTCGCGAAATAGCAAGAACAAGGGCCTAGCGTGTGCAAAATTGCAAGAACAAAGGTCTAGCGTGTGCAAAATTGCAAGAACAAGGGCCTAGCGAGTGCAAAATAGCAAGAGCAAGGGCCTAGTGTGTGCAAAAAAACAAGAACAAAGGTCTAGCGTTCGCGAAATAGCAAGAACAAGCACCTAGCGTGTGCAAAATAAAAAGAACAAGGGCATAGCGTGTGAAAAATAAAAAGAACAAGGGCCTAGCGTGTGAAAAATAAAAAGAACAAGGGCCTAGCGTGTGCAAAATTGCAAGAACAAGGGCCTAGCGTGTGCAAAATTGCAAGATTAAGGGCCTAGCGAGTGCAATATAGCAAGAGCAAGGGCCTAGCGTATGCAAAAAATACAGAACAAGGGCCTAGCGTTCGCCAAATGGCAAGAGCAAGGGCCTTGCGTGTGCAAAATAAAAAGAATAAGGGCATAGCCTGTTCCACGAGCTTTCCTGGTCCAGGAGCTTGCCTGGTCTAGGAGCTTGCGTGGTGCAGGAGCTAGCCTGGTCCAGAAGCTTGCTTGGTCCAGAAGCGTGCCTTGTCCACGAGCTTGCCTCGTCGAGGAGCGTACCTGGTCCACGAGCGGGCCTGGTCCAGGAGCTTGCTTGGTCTAGGAGCTTGCCTTGTCCACGAGCTTGCCTTGTCCAGGAGCATGCCTGGTCCAGGTTTGTGCCTGGTCCAGGAGCGTGCTTGGTCCAGAAGCTTGCTTGGTCAAAGAGCTTG